CTTTCTTTTCATATTCAAACAACTTTACATAAAAGGAAACCCAGAATCCCTTCACCTTAAAGCAGCAATCATTTCTCTCTCAGACCCCCTTTCATCCTATCACAGAAGGGACCACATTTTCACAAAGTGTATTCAGTGGAGAGGTCTGCTTTATACTCTGCTTTGAAAGCTTACCATATCATATACTACAGAGTTTACCTTATAATAATTTTAATGACTGCAGATTGTCTATAAGATTGCTATATAATAGCTTACTTAGGCCCCCCAGATTTTGAACATTTGGATTGTTTCCAGGTTTCTACTGTTATTTCCTTTATTCATTTAACAAAGCAAATTACCTTATTTGTTTGGGCACGCATAAGATTTCCCTGGAGGAGGAGGAGGGGTGAGGGATTGTTAGAGGCCAGGAGTGGGAAGGAGACTTTTCACTGAATTTCCCTATAGACCCTTTTGAATTTTGAATCATGTGAATATGCTGACTATTCAAGATATATATACCAAAAGCTTACTGTACATGAAGCATCTCACTAAAAGCTGGATATAGCAGTGGGGTCTACACTCTCAAACTAACTTCCTAATATGTGCTCTCCCAAAAGTATGTATAATGTACCTTGGGAATCCAGAGGAGAGAGCAGGGTGGAGAATCTCAGGCAATGACATTTTCACAGTAACTTGAAGCATGCGTAGGACTTAGTCAGGCTGATAAGAGACCACCGTGGGCAAAGGCCCAGAATAGCAAAGGGCACTTCCTGGTTGGGAAAGGAGGCTGTATCTGGTGTGGTGTGAAAGTTATGGGAAGTGAGGCTTTCAAGAAGGGCAGAAACCAGTGGAGCAAGGGCTCTGGAGGCCAGGCTCTGGGCTTCGAACTTGATCCCGGAGGCCATGGGAACCTTTAGAGGGTTAGAAACAGGGCAGTGGGTGAGAGCTGTGTTTGATAGCAATCCTCTTAGCAGCAAAGGACCAAAGGAAGGTAGAGCAGCTGGGAGCAGCCTTCTGGAGTCCAGGAGACAGTGACAAAGGCCTGAACTAGGGGACCAGCTGTCCCAATGAGCCCCAAACCACCCTGCTTTTAGCACTGAAAGTCCTGCGTCCCGGGCAACTCCTCAGCCTCTGGCAAATGGACATAGTCAGTCATTCTAGCCTGAACCAAGGCGCTAGATGCTGCTGTTCCCCAGAGCCTGCCTGCCCTGAGAAGTGATCCAGTGACTTCCAAGAGATTTTGAAATACTCACCCTGTTCTGTCGCACCCTCCACCTCTTTGGTCCCCACCTCCAGCCACTACTCCTGGGTTCATTTACTTCTGTAGGTTCCTTCTAGAGCTGCTGATCTGCAGACATAAAGGGATTTATGAGGAAGACATCCCCACTTACCAACGTCCAGTCTTCTTTCCTTCTGCTCCCCTCCACAAACCTGGGGCTCCCGTCAAACGAAACTAGTCCCTGTGCCAAAGCAAACCTGCAGACTTTTGTGTCTCCCCAGCCGTCACAAGACAGATCACTCTCCCTACTTCTCTGCCTGTTGAAGCCCATTGCAAATGCCACCCCCCACACACAGCTGAGTACCAGTACCATGGAAAAGTTCCTGTGTGGCAGACACTGCCCGAGAACTTTTCAATCATTACCACTACTCCTCACAGCAAATAAATATGATTAGTCCCTTTTTCCAGAGGAGGAAACCAAGACTCAGAGAAGGCAAGTGTCTTGTCCAAGCTTGGACACAGCTACTAGCCTTCCCCTCCATCTTCTTTGTACTTTTCTGATGGCCCCAATCTTTGTGTTGATGATGTGTGTACTTCTTTCACTCCCTGCCAGCGCCCTGACCCACCACACACACGATTGTCAACCTAGAATAATGCCAGGCTTGTAGTAGAACCTCAATAAAAATTTGGTAAAAGAAGGGACTATGTATGTCCCTTGTATAGGACGTAGCCCATTGACTGGGATTAAATAGGTTCTCCTATTCAGGTATTGCTGAAATTGCAGTACCGAACCAAGTAAGAGTATGACTGAAGGGGAACGATCAGAAGAAAACACATTATGGCAAAACCTCAGCTATCCAAAGCTTTCTAGAAATGAGTCATTCTGAAGGCTGAGGGTGAACCTTCAGAATCCAGGAAGAAGAATCCTAGGGCTGCTTCTTTCTCAGCGTTTACCTCGCTTCCACCCACTTCTTCTGAGCTCCCCGGTCCCCTCGCTCTCCTTTTCCTTCCAGTCTTCTTTGGTTTTCTGTTGTTCCTGCAAAGCTTCTTAGCTTCTGGTTTGGCGAGCTAATTGCAGTCTTCCCCTTGCTGTCCTTCCATGCCTTTTGCCCCCTTTCTCCTCACCACAGCACCCCCGCTTCCATAGAGGCTTCCCTGCCCTCCTCAGGCTGGTGGATGCTTCTCTCATCTGCGTCTGCACACCCCACGGCACCCCATACGGGTGGCTGTGATTCCATCCACCTCACATGCTGGACTGTGAGTTTCTTGAGGGTTAGAATCATATCAGCCCTAAATGTCTATGAATGAAATTACCAGACCCTTTTGTGCTTCTTGGCCACCACTCCTTTGGTACTGCTTACTCCGAGGCAGCTAAGGGTTTGCTTGTTGGTTGGTTGGATTGTAACTGGGAAATCATGAGTGCTGGTTATTCAGGATTTGTCTGCTCACCTACTTCTCTTCTTCCTGCTTTTACTACATTCACTGGTGTTCATGTTATACTTGTCCCGTTGGCTCAGGAAGGCTCCAGCTCAGACAGTATGCGCTTTGTTTTGGAGGGGAAAGGGCTGGCAAATCAGGGTCATGGCCCAGCCCTGCCAGCCCATCTTGCTTAAGGAACCAGGAGACCAGACCTCATTATTTGTTCCACAAGCATTTACCTGAATGCCTACACTGTATCAGGCTCTGAGCCGGACATTAGGGAGACAGAAATGGAAATCGGTGTGTCCTTGCCCTGCATCTAGCACCCTGTGTGAGCCCTTTCTAGGCCTCTTCCATTTACCCATCTGAAAGTGAAGCGGGGTAGAGACCTGATTTGTAAGCAGCCTTGGAGCTGGCAGCATTGTGGAACTCGTCTATCCGGGATACTCTCGCGCTCCCCACATCTGTGCTTTGCCCTGGAAGAGCCCAGGCCCACCTCTTACCTCTCTCCCTTCTCCCCTGCAGCTTCTGAGCAGACGTGCTCTAATACATCTCACACTGTATGTGGCCAACTAGCCCCCAGGAAGCAGCTTGGTAACCCCAGCTAGCCAGGGGGAAGAAAAGAAAGAGGAAGAGGAGGAGGGGTGGCATGTCAAGTGGCCATGGAGGGTACATTGGGGGAGGACAGTACATCCCACGGTGCACCAAAACCGTCCCCTAAGCTCAACTCTGAAGATTCATATTAGTCAGTCTAATCGAGGAGGCCCAAGCCAGAGTGGGAGGTAGGGAGGGAGACAGAGTTCCACTAATATTCCTGGAAAAGGCTAAGGAATCAATATTTCCTTGTACTTGTAGGACGCTTGATACCGTTTTGTATTTAATTTTCCTAGCAACCTTTTTGATTACATTCAGAAGATTTTTTTGAGCACCTACATTAGAGGCCTTATGCTGAGAATTACTGGCCTTTTCCCTTAGGACACTTATCAGAAATTCAAGTGTATAGATGGTTTCCTAAGTTTTTTGTTTGTTTGTTTGTTTGTTTTGCGGTACGCGGGCCTCCCACCGCTGCGGCCTCTCCCGCTGCGGAGCACAGGCTCCGGACACCCAGGCCCAGCGGCCATGGCTCACCGGCCCAGCCGCTCCGCGGCACGTGGGATCTTCCCGGACCGGGGCACGAACCTGCGTCCCCTGCATCGGCAGGCGGACTCTCAACCACTGCACCACCAGGGAAGCCCCTTTCGTAAGTTTTTAATGTCTGTCTCCTCCACTAGACTGTGAGTTCAGTGAAGGCAGGAATCATGCCCATCTTCTTCCCCAAAGAATCCTCAACACCTAGAACAGCACCTGGCAAACGGTAATCACTTAACAGATAGTTACCGAAAAAAGGAATCCACAGGCCTGGGACCTGGAGACAATCTTTAATTTTGAAAAGGCTGGTGTGCAGAAGCAAGCCTTTTAGCCTGAAACATAATAGATGTTCAGTAGACATTCATTTTATTAAACGAAGAATAATAATAGGAAACACTTACAGTAATACCTCCTGTGTGCCAGGCTCAGTGCTAAGTGCTTTACATTCACTCACTCAATCCTCAGAACAACCCTATGAAGCAGGTACTATTATTATCCCCATTTTACAGTTGGGAAAACCGAGGCACGGCAGTTTGCCAATTTGTAAGTGGCAGAGATGAGATCTGAACCCCAGCTATCTGGCTCTGAAGTCCATGCGTTTAGCCGCTAGATTGCCTCCCAACAACACATCTAGAGAGACAGAGCGATTCCCCCACGGCGTCTGGGGAGGAACTTGGTGGAGCCAGGACCGAAAGCCAGGTCTGCTCTCTGTGCAATGCTTCTCCCACTGGCCACTGGTACAGAACCCCTGGGAACAGAGGCACAAGGAGGGATCTGAGAAGTCTAGATATTCATGCAGAAGAAGGCTCTAGTTGACTAGGTGGCTCTCAGCAGAAGACAGGAGGAGTCAGAGAGCATCCACCAGGGCAGACTGCTTTTCAGAGATCCTATTTGAGGCCTAAGCCATTCCCTTTTCCTGCACTAATTTATCAGGGACCCCCTCCTCACACACACACACACACACACTCACACACACACACACACACACACACACACACACACACACACACAGCTAGAACCAGCCCGAGGCAATTGAGCACCTGTGGGGAAAGGATGCATATTAGAGAGATTAGAAAGTATGATCTAAAGCCTGGTGTGTGCATAGGAAGTTGAGGTGGGGAGAGAACAGGGAAGACTGCAGAAAAGGCTAAAACCTCCAGCAGATAAAAGGACTCAGTGATGAGATTAAAGCAAAGCACCTGCAATCAGCTCAGCTTTGGAGGCACCAGCCTTCCTATCACAACAGAACAGCACCATGGCCATGGCCTTCCTCTCCCATCTGGATCTTCAGGAAAGCCTCCAAACACTCTCTGTTTTGCAGTGGATCTCAGTCTATGTTTTTTTAGGTGAGTGAACCCCAGGGGCTGGAGAGCACAAGGGAACAGATGAAGAAAGAGACCAGGAATCTCCAGATGAGGAGGGCTCCAAAGAGATCATTTGGTTGGTCCCCTCTCTCTGGGAAGGACTGTGCCTCTCCACCCAGAGAGATGGCTACTGTTGAGTCCATTAGATTTCTCTCCTCCCATCTGAAGGGCATGAAGGCCAGGAGTGAGGCTGCAGGTTTCCTGGTTTAAAGATCATCCCAGCCTTCTCTCAGGACTACCCCCTGTGAACTAGCTGAAAAGAGTCCTATTCGGGGGCAGGGGCAGAGTTGGTGTTACTGGGTAGACGGAAGGTGATTTTCCAGTATAAGACTATGATGAGAGAATTATGGAAAATCTGCAGGCTGCGTGAATGACTCATTAGACAGAATTTTGAGAAAGGGCCAGTTCTTCAATGGACTCAGAGGATGACAGTCATCAGTGCTGGGCAAATGGACTGAGAGCTCGAAGCTCTTCTCAGTCAGAAATCAGGGCTTTGTGAGCAGCCAATTACAGGGACAAGTTAGGAAACTGGACGTGGAGAAATGTCATCCTGAAGGATGGGACAGGTTAGGAGGCTGCCAAGTCCAATCTGTGGGAGGCTATATGACCCCGTAGAGCAGTGGTTCTTAACGAGGGACCTATAGACCTAGGATGAGGCAGGGAGGGACAACGTTGAATTTGGATGGAAAAAATTACCTGTTTATTTTCACTAACCTCATATTGAAATGATGAATGTAGGCAGCGAACCACAGAAATACCTGTGAATTTGTCGGTAACAGACATCACAGAGATTTACATTTCACATGCCAGTTGTTACAGTCATCTCAAAAGTTCATTTATGGGCTTCTCTGGTGGCGCAGTGGTTGAGAGTCCGCCTGCCGATGCAGAGGACACGGGTTCGTGTCCCGGTCCGGGAAGATCCCACGTGCCGCAGAGCGGCTGGGCCCTTGAGCCGTGGCCGCTGAGCCTGCGCGTCCGGAGCCTGTGCTCCGCAACGGGAGAGGCCACAACAGTGAGAGGCCCGCGTACCGCAAAAAAAAAAAAGTTCATTTATGCTCGTTACCAATTCCAACAGTTATTGGAACTACCATTAGGCGTGGTTATTTAATGCATAAATCAAGAAGCCCATGTTACTGTATGACATTTTTGGCAATATTTTGATAACGGTGTTTTACTATGATGAGTTCCCTTTGTAAGTCCTTGTATTTTATCTTGTGCGTTTAAAAATACTATTCAGGGGCTTCCCTGGTGGCGCAGTGGTTGGGAGTCCGCCTGCCGATGCAGGGGACACGGGTTCGTTCTCCGGTCCGGGAGGGTCCCACATGCCGCGGAGCGGCTGGGCCCGTGAGCCACGGCCGCTGAGCCTGCGCGTCTGGAGCCTGTGCTCCGCAACGGGAGAGGCCACAGCAGTGAGAGGCCCGCGTACCGCCAAAAAAAAAAAAAAAAAAAATACTATTCAGAAAAGGGCTTCACCAGACTGCCAAAGGGATCCATGGCCTGGTTCCCAGTAAATGCTCCTTACAGAAAAGTGTCCTTCCTTCCTTCCTCCCTCCCTTCCTCCTTCCTAATTCTGTTCTTCCTTCTTTTTCTCACCCTCTTTCCTTCATTCTTTCTGTCTTGCTCAGCGCTTCCCTCAGCGCTTCTCCTCCTTCCTGAATGATGTTCAGAATCATGGCTGATTACTGAGCACGACTGGGAGTGATGGGGGAAAACGTAGGGAAGAGGGGGAGAGAAAAGGCAGAGAGAGGGACAAGAAGGAGGAAAGAAGCGATGAGAGAAGAATGAAGAGATGGTTTGGGGGAGATGTGGAATATAAATATTCATGACCCTTGGAATTAGGCAATGCTCCTGAGAGCCCCTCTGAGGCCCAGCTTCCAGTTAAAGGATGGCTCTCCATCTATCTCTTCTTTTCTGGGCTTGTACTGCCATCTATCTAAACTGTTGCAATATCCTCTTTCCTGGCCTTCTATTCTCCACCCTCTCCCATATATTCCACTGCCTACAGCCAGAAGAGTCTTTCAAAGGCATCTTTGATTACAGCCCTCTGCTGCTCAAAAATAGTCAGCGGTTTTCCCTTGCCTTCTTGATGAAGTACAAATGTGTCACTGTGGCCCTTCAAGGCCCTGCTCCGCTCTCTGCCTCAAACTTTTTTTTTTTTTTTTTGCGGTACGCGGGCCTCTCACTGTTGTGGTCTCTCCTGTTGCGGAGCACAGGCTCCAGACGCGCAGGCTCAGCGGCCATGGCTCACGGGCCCAGCCGCTCCGCGGCATGTGGGATCTTCCCGGACCGGGGCACGAACCCGTGTCCCCTGCATCGGCAGGCGGACTCTCAACCACTGCGCCACCAGGGAAGCCCCCTGCCTCAAACTCTTTACCAGCTCATCCCCCTACTCTTCCCCTAGGTGAAGCTCGTATTCCAGGCAATCTATTCACAGAACAAATAGAACTACCATACGACCCAGCAATCCCACTACTGGGCATATACCCTGAGAAAAACCATAATTCAAAAAGAGTCATGTACCAAAATGTTCATTGCAGCTCTATTTACAATAGCCAGGACATGGAAGCAACCTAAGTGTCCATCGACAGATGAATGAGTAAAGAAGATGGGGCACATATATATGATGGAATATTACTCAGCCATAAAAAGAAACGAAACTGAGTTATTTGTAGTGAGGTGGATGGACCTAGAGTCTGTCATACAGAGTGAAGTAAGTCAGAAAGAGAAAAACAGATACCATATGCTAGCACATATATATGGAATCTGAAAAATAAATGGTTCTGAAGAACCTAGGGGCAGGACAGGAATGAAGACACAGATGTAGAGAATGGACTTGAGGACATGGGGAGGGGGAAGGGTAAGCTGTGACAAAGTGAGAGAGTGGCATGGACATATATACACTACCAAACGTAAGGTAGATAGCTAGTGGGAAGCAGCCGCACAGCACAGGGAGATCAGCTCGGTGCTTTGTGACCACCTAGAGGGCTGGGATAGGGAGGGTGGGAGGGAGGGAGATGCAAGAGGGAAGAGATATGGGAACATATGTATATGTATAACTGATTCACTTTGTTATAAAGCAGAAACTAACACACCATTGTAAAGCAATTATACTCCAATAAAGATGTTTAAAAAAATGCCAAGGGTACTTACTCTCTCACTCCTTCACTTCTGCTCTATTTCCTCCACTTAAAGGATTCCCTGGGCTTCCCTGGTGGCGCAGTGGTTGAGAGTCTGCCTGCCGATGCAGGGGACACGGGTTCGTGCTCCGGTCTGGGAAGATCCCACGTGCCGTGGAGTGGCTGGGCCCGTGAGCCGTGGCCGCTGGGCCTGTGCGTCCAGAGCCTGTGCTCTGCAACGGGAGAGGCCACAACAGTGAAGAGGCCCGCATATCGCAAAAAAAAAAAAAAAAAAGATTCCCTGATCACCCTTCCTGGACTATCCCTGGACAACCCTTCCTTTGAGATATTGCTCAAGTCATACCTTCTCTGCATCATTGTCCTGGCAACCTGAGACTACATTATCTCTGAAAGTCCAGAGCACTTTGGAAAAATTGGTTGCATAGCAGCCTTTATACCCTTTGCCTCCTCTACCCAATAAGCTCCATGAAAACAGGAGCCACATCTTGTCGTTCTATTTCTTGCAAGACCAGGCTTGACACTGTTGATTCTTCCAGATTTCTTCTCCTCAGTAAAGACCTTTAAGTCCACCTCTTGTTCTTTTTTCTCTCTCATGGACATCTTTTTTGTGTGTGTGTGGGTCTGCCTCCTATCTCTGGTTGCTGATAATACAAAAAATAGAACATATTCTTGGGAGTCAGACAGACCAGGTCTGCCATTTACTTGTTATGTGAGCTTGTGCAAGTAAGTTGTTCACCCTCTACCATTGTAGAACAGAGCTCCCAAGACCATTCTGATAATCAAAGAGGAAAGAAAACACTCAGTCGATGTTCATTTTCTGTGATAGAAATTGACATCGGAGCCCAGCCACCCCACCTCAGAAGACGTTTGATCAACAGAAGAGTGACTACCACTTCTGAGACAGGCACCTTAGACTCTGATTTCATTGCACCTTCAGGAAGAATAATGAGTAACTTGATCCTAGAAAATGAGGCAAACAGACACTCTGATACCTTCCAAGCATTCCCACAGGCCCTTTCAAGGCATCGTTCACTTCTCCCTCTCCTTCACCCCCTACATCCAGTCAACTGCAAACCCCTGAACATTCTGCCTCCATAGTATCTTTCAAATTGATTTCAGAAGTAGTAGCCTATTTCAGGTTCCCATTGCCTCTCATCTAAGTCACGGCAACTCTTAGCTGACCTCCCGGCCTACCATTTCTCCTGCTCGCACAGTCATCTCAAATGATCTTACTGATACACAGATATGATCACGCTCTTCCTCTGCTAAGAACCGTCACTGGCTTCTCATTCCATTCAGTATGGGACCTGAGCTCCCCTGCTTCCTTCCCAGTGTCATCTCCTGTTCCATGGCTTCCCATGCTCCCTGTACTTTTGCAGGTTATGGTATCACTCACAGACCTTGGACTCTTCCATCTCCAGGCCTTCGTTCAAGCTCTTCCTTGTGCGTGGAAGGCCCTTCCACCACTAATCCATCTGTCAAAATCCTACTCTTCCTTCAAGATTCAATTTAAATCTTACCTTCTGCCAGAAGCCTTTCTAGGCTGCCCGGTAGTAAAGAATGGCCTTCTCCTTTGGTCCCCATATAATGACATTTGAACCCTAACTGTATTGTTCTCACCCTCTAGGATATATCCATTATTTATGGTGTCACTTTTCCCCTCTAGACTATGAGTTACTGGAAAGCAGGAACTTTATTTTTTACATGTCTTAATATGACTTAAAATTAATTAAGCATACACAAAGTGCTTAAAGTAGCTCTTGGTTCATAATAAAGACACAACAAATGCTACCTACTTTTTTTCCCAAAGCTTGAAATGAAGATACATGACCTCTCTGAGCCTCA